GACTTTATTTGTAATCAATATTTGATGGTATGGTACTGAGTGTTCGACGAGTGTCATTAAGAGTTTCTCGATTGTAAAGTATAAAGGTAAAGTAAGAATAAAAGGATTAAAAATAAGACAAGGCTCCAACATAAGAAGATCTCGCCCGAGAAGATACGTATAACGTAGAAGTTTAGGAGATTGGAGACAGAGAAGTTGAAGATCTCAAGTAGGAAATACAGTCTATCAAGCTACAATCCGTATTGGTTGGTAGCTGTGATTCGTAAGTGGTTAATCACGGTCACAGTTAATCGAGTGTATTACGAGAGGGACTCACGCGGGGTGTGTACGGGGGACTACTGTACTGGTACTGCCTCAGCTTAGGAACTTGTCGGTTTAGCCACAACAGTCCTTTCCTATTTTTACTGCTTTATATAGAAACTTTTTTGGGGATTTACAATAAATCTAACGTTCGTAGATTGTAATTATTAAACGCGTAAGGTTCCTTAATAACCATCTAAAGTAAGCAGCTTTAAGGCAGTGGCTCAAGCATTTATACGGTTAACTCAATTGAAAAAAAGACAATTAAAGCGTAAAGTTAAAGCTTTTAATTCACTATCCATCATCCTCGTCGAGTTTCAATTTTCCAAACAGCGCGTAAATTAAAATAAAATAAATGCTTGGTCGATTGACCAAAAAAGTTTTTTAAGCACCTTGAGATGACAACTAATAGTCAGTACTTTACGCGCTAGTGATTTATTAATGTACAAGCATATCGTTCTAAATTTTGACTCACACTTCTTCCTTTGTTAAATCCTCTGTTGTATCTCGTTCCGATAACTGGTTTAGTATTTTCCTCTATACACCAAGCGCACTACATTATATATTGAAAGCGTCATTAGTCTTTTTCTAGTAACACCCATGTAAAAACATGTTCCATTTATTATTCTTAACTGTATGCATCCGTCACAGCTCTTTGCTTCTCATTTTGGTTTCAGAATTATTGTACACTACGGAGGATAACAGACAGAAAGACAACTAATTGTTTGGTGTTTTGGATAAAGTATTTTAAACACAGTTAACTGTAATTTTTTGCTCTTCTGCTGCGGTCTACTGGAGAAGCAAACAGCACGAAAAACAAAAATGGAGCAAAAGTTGCAAGTGACCAACAAATAAAATAAACAATAATTAGACTAAATAGCTCTTGCTAAAACGCAATTTTCTTTAAAATCTTACTTTTTTGATTCTCAAATAGAATTTCCAATAATCCTTGTTGACTTTTTCCATTTGCGCATCGTATTCTTCAATTTCCTTTAAGCTGTAATATGCAAGAATTAACTACTCTAAAGTATGAACCAACTTCGCGAAAACTCGTAATTTTTTAATGTTTTAGGTGAAAGAGAAAAAACAGCTTTGAAAAAATGACGCAATAACACTTATGCTGAAAATCCAGTGTTGCAACCTTTAACGACTGTGGAAAGACAAATAAAAATTTTAAATTGCCTAACAAAGTCACTGTAGCTTTTGGTCATCCCTTTAGAAAGTTTCTGGAAAAATATAATTCAGATTCTATTTCCTAAGCGAATATGCTTCGTCACTTCTCAAATCCATCTAAATTTTCCTAGACTTTACTTCATTCAATACAGAGCTGAAGGAAGTTTTTCCGTGAACAACAGGTGCCTTACCTATCAATTACAGGTGCTAAAAGAATTTTCATTAGGCACAACAAAAACATTTTCATACAATTCCATAACTGGTACTCGCTTTACCTTTCATCCTAGTTCTCATTGGTATTAGCATCACATCATCTAGCTGTCTTCAGCAGGTATCTCATACTTAATCCTCCCTCTTCTTCATTTTTTTCTCTTATCCTCACTTGCTAATTTCCTTTTTGTTGATTAGAAATTTGATAAAAGATCAAAAGAAGAAGAAGAAGAGGAACACCAAACAAGACTTCTTGAGAATAAAGAAGCCATAAAGTAACATTGGTGGTTTTTATATCGTGCAAAGTACTACAGATCATCTGCGAAACTTATTCCGGATTGATCTGAAATACTGTGAGTCACCTTTCATCATCCACATAACGCTTGTTTTTTCTGCACTAAATTCTTCTTAAATTCCTTGAAAATTTGAAATTCCTCAAAAAATTTAAATTTCAAGTATTTTAATATTTTAACCAGCAAGATTTTCTGTTAGTTTTTAAATTGAACGTCTTTTTCTCCTACAACTACTGGTCGTTCTCCCAACCAGACGTTTCTTCTCAACTGTACTCCTCAGAAAATACAGATTCATGTAAGAGTTTACGACAAGCCCTCTTTGCAAACGATACTCTACTAGTTCAGGATTAAATTCCACAT